AGTCGGAAGCAAGAGTCCTTCCATTATAAAGGTCATGTGGTTTGCGCGAACCTTTAGAAACGGGAGCGTCGAATCAAATTGTGCCTTGAAACGGACCCGATCGAAACGACAATCTGCAGACTTCCTTGCAGACTTCGAAGTTTGGAAAGTGCAAAAAAAAATTTGCAATTCCAAACAATTGCCAAGCCGCTTGTGATTTACTTAAAATCTTAAAATATGAAAATAGGCTGCTCCGTCGACCCAAGGACTTTATTACAGCAAACGCGCAAATCCCGAGCAAAATCGGTGAACAGCGAGCGAAGCCCTGATAGAATCCAAACGGGGGGGGCAGGGGCGAGCGGCGCGGAGGCCCCCTTCATGGCGTACTTGGAGGTTCAGTACCCTCGCGGTGTCATCAGCGTCTGTTCAGGTTGCATCGTCAGCGATCAGTATATCCTCACTTCGGCGTCCTGCGTCGCCAGGTAAAATTCACTTTTCCCTCGAATGGTGGAATCGAACCAGTAATGATGGAACTGTGCAACGTATCATGGATTCCTGATCGATTAGTTATTTGCTTGTGATTCGATTGCGATTGATTTTCTGAAAGTCATCTATGTCTTTGAAGCAGTCCCGAAAACGCGATCGAGGTGAGAGCGTGGGTGGGAAATTCCGATTGGACAGCAGGAACTCTCGTCGTTGCGGATTCTTTCAGAGCGTATCCCGATTATAACGGATGTGAGGACTCTCGACTCTCATTCGCGTCAAGGTCAAGGTCAAGGTCAAGGTCAAGGTCGATCGATGAGGTTCCCGGTTTTGCAGACGGTTCCAGCGATATCGCCCTGGTCCACCTCCCCGCGAGACTCGCCTTCGGCCCGAGCATCCAGCCGATCTGCTTCCCCGCTTCCGACATCCAGGGAGCGAGCATCGCCGCGTGCGAGAAGAGGATCTACGGCTGGGGGTCGCTCGACGACAGAGGCTTCCTCCTGGCGCACGCCCTGCAGCGCGTGGACGTGAACGTGACCGGGAACTCCACGCACTGCTCGTCCTATGTCGACGGGACGGTTCTCTGCGTGGAGATGCCAGCGGATTACGTCGACCTTGCACTTCAGTCTGTACGTATCCTCGCACGCGAAAATTTCCTCTGAATTAGAATCAGCCTGAGGAGGACCTGAGGAGGACCTGAGGAGGACCTGAGGAGGACCTGAGGAGGACCTGAGGAGGACCTGAGGAGATGAGGCCTGCTGAACTGCTGGGCGATGT